TTTATTCATTAATTCACTTATTTTGATTTGATCAGACAGAGAGAGAGAGAGAGAGAGAAAGGAAATCACCAGGTCCAAGCCTCAAATTGTGGTCAGCCATGTGGGAGTGTCCAGCACCTTCACCACCACGCCACCTGCTGGTCCCCTTCCTTCCCTCTCTTAATAAACTCTCCACTTTTTTTTTTTTAAAAAAGAATTATTTAATTTGTATTTATCATCATCATTATTATTCTCTCATTTTAGCTGCAGGGCACTTTATCCCTTCTCTGTGTTCATGTCTCTAATTCTTTCTGAGCCTGAGACAAAGCATCGGGTTCACTGCTGTTCCGGCATTCCGTTTTGGGCTCACACAACCCAACTTCCTGCAGCATAATTTTCCTGCATCAAGATGACACAGTATATGTAGATTACCATTAAGCCAGGCCTTACCAACTTTCATGTGCATGTGAACCATCTGGGATCTTGTTAAAATACAGAGTCAGGGCTGGACGGAGGTGCAACGGCCATGCAACACTCTGTGAGGCCACCCTGCATGGGAGAGCTCTCCGTTTGTGTCCAGAGACATCCCTGAACATGTTGGGCATGTGTGTCCCCATGACCCGAGACCAGCTGAGGCTGGGAGTGAATCGTGGTATGAAGTGCCCTACTGGAGGTGCCTGTCTCTGTCTCTGTCTGTCTCTTTTGCTGACATAAGAAATAAATAAGCTTAAAAAAATACAGAGCCTGAATCATGAGTTATTTTATTTTATTTTTTATTTTAAGGTTTTTGCCATAAGAAGCATGTGCTTCCCAGAGAAACAGAGAGGGAAAGTGAGAAATCACCCCCCAGGAGGGATGGCCACACCATAGTCCCTTCTCCTCCATTCTCCTCTTGGGATTTTGAGTATATATGCACACAGGTCTGGCATGATTTTCAAGCTTGAACTGCAGTCAGCCACGTGGGAGTCTAGTGCCTTAACTACCACTCCACCTGCTGGCCCCTGGACTGCATACTTCTAAGAGCAAGGCCTGAAGCCATTCTCCATTGGTTTTACATAATCAGAGGCCAAAGCCTCCTCCCTGACAGGGCGATCCAGCCCTGTCACCTGCACTCCTTCACCCTGAGACCCGGCTGGGCGTACAGCACCCCCCTGGCTTCCTATTCCTGTCCTTGGCGGCTCTCACACATGGCTCCTTGCCTGTTCGGTGCCCGAGAGGCTCGCCAAGGGTAAGTGATCCAAGGTGCCGAGTCCAACTGCCTGGCACGTTGTAGGTGCCCAATCACATTTGTGGAAATGAAAGTCCACGTGGGAGACTTCCTGCGCCCACTGGCAAGAATGCATATGCCCAGGGAGCCAGCGCATGCTCACACAGGCCCACAGTGCCAGGGGCTGCAGCCTCGAGGAGGCTGCTCAAGCAAGGCTGACTCCCTGAGAGGCTCAGCTGGGCTGGCAGAAACCCAGGGGGCGGGGAGAGGGGGAGGACAGCCACACCCTTTCCCTTTTCAGAGCCTGGCATCTGGGTCCAAACAGTGCCCAAAATATCTGCAAAGACGGAGGGGGCTGAACATAGCTCAATGGCTCCAGCTGTCCCTGAGTCCCATCCTCGCCCAGGTGTTGGGCAGGTGACAGCACCTGGCTGGGATTCACCATGACTCAGCCCCTCCCTAGATGGCAAGATTGTTCCCCCTGCTGGGCTTAGCAGCCTCCCACTCCCTGATCCTTTCTCTACTGGGCTCAAAACATGCACCCCAAACCTTTTAGTAATCATAGTCATCACCATCGCCAGTTATTGAGTGCTTACTCTGTGCCAAGCACTTACAGACACAACTGAATCGTGGTGGGAGGGTCGCTCCATTCCTAAGAATGTAGCTGACCACAAGCAGAAAGATACCCAAAGAACAGTGGCTTCGCTAACAACAAAAACAGTAACACAATGAGTTGCAGTGCCTGCCCTGTGCAGTCACTGTCCTAGGTACTTTGCACATATTAACTCATTTAACTCTCGCAGCTTCTCAGTGTTCTGCAATACTACTGTCCTTTTTCTACGGGAACACCCGGGCTCAGAGAGGTGGAGTAACCTCCCCAAAGCAGCAGAAATGAGCCATAAACCAGGGCTGTCTGACTTCTTAATCCAGGCTTGGAACTTGCCTGTAATGTAACAAGACTCTCTGGTCCCCTAAAACATGACAGCAAATGATAACAACAGCCACTTTCCAAGCCCTGTCACATGCAGGCATCACAACACATTTCTATGCTGCTCCCTAGGGACAGGTTACGTGACCTTCCTAAGCCTTCATCTCCTCCTCTGTGAAATGGCATGTGGGTTTGTCTTCCCCACTCCTCCCCTTGCCCCGCTGCTGTGCACAGAACCACACTGCCCTCCCCAGGAATGGCCCTCCCGTCCGGCCTATGGGGCCAACAAGATGTTTGCTAGCCTCCCAAAAGCTCAAAGAGGCCCATGGCCAGCAGGTGCCCAAGGCCGCCAGAGGGTCAATGGCAGAGCCAGAACTAGGACTGGCACCTCCTGACCCCAAGACTCACACCTGTCGGCAGAGACCTGCTGCTCCCCAGAGGCCTAGAATATAAGGGAACAAGGGGGGCTTATAGCACAAGTTTATTTTGGTGCAAAATAAATATATAAATAAAATCCACCTACAGTTTTTTCATGATATGCATTTTCTAAGAACTTTTTGAAGCCCTCCTCCATAGTTTTCTCTAAGGTTGCTGCTTCGCCAGGTTTCTCAGGGTAAAACAAACACTGGCTCCTCCCTCCTCCTCCTCCTCCTCCTCCTCCTCCTCTTCTTCCTCTCCCTTCCGCCTGTCTTCTTCCTTCCTTGCCCACCAGAAAGCCTTGCTAGGAGGTAGGCGGAAGAGCAGCACCTGCCAAGGCCTGGCCATTCCCAAGGCCAGAGATGCTGGTTAAAGGGAGGGTGGAGGACAAGGAAGGCTTTTAGCCAGCAGGAGCCCCTAGCTGTGAGGTGGGGCCAGAAATGAAGGGGAGCAAAGGGTGGAGGCCAAACCCGAGCCCTCCCTGGCTGGGTGCTGGCTCTGGACGAGCCACTCAGCCAGCGCTGTTCAAGAGATCTTGCTGTGATGATGAAAACGTTCTGTTTTCTGCACCGTCCAATCTGGGTGCACTAACCATGTGCTGCCGTTGAGCACTTGAAACATGGTTAGTGCGACAGGGGAACAGGATGCTGACGTTTATGTGATTTTAATGAGTTTATATGTAAATCGCCACGCGTGTTCAGTGGCTACTGCACCGGACATTGTGGGCATGAGCTTCCCAAGCCTCAGTCTCCTGGAGGGCACGACGGGATCATGACATCCCATCCTTTGCTGCTTCAGAGCATAGCTGGGACCACAGCGCAGTGTGGTGTTAGAGAATAAGCCGCAGGTAGGAGTCAGGACTCCTCAGTCCCAGACCTATTAACATGCTGTGTGACCAGGGCAAGCTCCCTAACTTCTCTGGGTGTCACCTGCACAATAAGGAAGTCACTTTGGATTAAAGTTTCGTTGCCAGGGATCTGGAGATGGGTTTAAAGGGAATCTGAGAAGCCCTAACAGTTATGAGAAGAGGGTGTTTGTGCAGCTTTGTGTATGAGGGTGAGCGATATGTGTGAGGGGGCAGCCGAGTGTGTGTGTGTGTGTGTGTGTGTGTGTGTGTTGGGGGCCCTGCAATCTGCATTTGTAACAAATTCCCCAGAGACTCTAATGAGCGGCCAAGGGAGAGACTCATTGGCTAGGAGCCAGTGAGTGCCTATGTTTTGTGATTTAATGTCCATGAAATGCCTTTATCAAGCTGTAGTATATACTTTAAAAAACGAATCAGGATTTAAGAAGCAAAAAAGAAGAAATAACAATGACAAGAGTAAAACCCCTCTGGAGCCTCCTCTTTATTCCTTTACTGATATTATGCACCCATATGCCCAACACTGTCCTACACTCTATAATACCAGCCCAGGGGCTGGTCCTGTGGCCTAGTGGTTAAGGGAGCAGGACCCCACATGGTTTATTGCAGTTCGAATCTCTACTCTACGGCTTAAAAAATGCACCAATTGGGACCAGCAGTTGGCGTAATGGCTATGTCGCTGGACTCCCATGTAGTCTACCGTGGTTCGTGTCCCGGACCCGGTGGCTTAAAACTCACACCGGGTGCGTGTGTGCCCAAGATCCTGAGAGGAGAATGGAGGAGAAGGGATTGTGGCATGGCCATCCCCCCGGGGGGGTGATTTCTCACTTTCTATCTCTCTGTCTCTCTCTGTCTGTCTGGCGAGCGCACACACCCTATCGCAAAAACCTCTCAAAAAAAAAAAGCAAGCACCAATCATGTGTATGTGCGCCCCACATCGGGACAGGACGGAGAAATAGAGAAGGGTCTACAACACAATCATGCACCATTGGGAGTACTGTCTCCTGTCCTTCTCTGGCTAGTGCATATGCCCTCTGTCAGTTAAAAAACAAACGAAAACATCAGGCCAGCAGGTGGCATGGTGGTTGGACTTCCACATGGCCGATCACGGTTCAAGTCCTGGACCTGGTGGCTTGCTTCTCACTTTCCTTCTTTCTCTCTGTCTCTCCCTGGTGTGCACACATGTCCTATAGCAAATAATAATAAATAAAATAAAATTTAAAAATCTTTAAAAAATAAAAAGAAAACACATTAAGCCAGGATGATATGGATTTAATCCTTATGGCACCCAGTGAGGTTGGTGTTATTATCCCTTTTTTATGGATGAAGAAACTACAGCACGTGGCTTGCCCAAGTCACACAGCCGGAAAGCGGCAGAGGCAAGACTCAAGTTCAGACAGTGGGTACCAGTGCCTGTGCCCCTCACCCTCCCTCAGAGCTTCGCTGCTTCCTTTCTGAAGACAGCGCCATCCAGGAGCCCTGGGACAGAGCCACCACCAGCCAGAGGCTAGCCCAGAGCTCCCGGAGGAGTTGCTCAGTTCCTCTGCCCCCACTGCAAAAACCTGCTAGAGCCAGGCAGCCGGTGGGCAGGCGCGGCCCGTACTCACTTGCCCTCCGAGCCATAGCTGTTCATGCTGTCCTCGATGGACTCGTGGCTGGCCTGGCGCAGCGTCCGGCTGGGCATCTCCACTGCCAGCCCGGTCTCCGTGCTCCTCTGGATGGCGCCCTTCAGCCTCCGGCTGTCACCTTCTGGGCAAAAAGGCCAAGAGAGATGGGGAAAGGGGCACAGGGGGGAGGGGACAGGGGGCCGAGTCATCTGGTTAGTGTATTGGTGGCTGGTGGCTGCCCAATACCAGTACCCACTCACCCCAGGACAGCCCTGCCCGCCACACCCACCCAACAAACAGCATTATATTAGGCTCTGTTTATTTATCCCATGAGTGAGATGTGTGTTGGCCAAGACAATGTGTTCTCTTGACTTGCCCTTCCTCATCTGCAATCTCACCACCCCCAGACCTCCCGACCTGCCCTGGGCATTCCCTCCCTCACCCTCTTACCTCCTCCCACTCTCACCACGACCTCCTCCTCTCTGAGCCTTGGACCTGAGGCTCCCGAGCTTCTGGTTCTTTCTGCCCTTCCTGCAGCCAACTCAGGGCTTTGCTTGTTCCCTCACCCCCTCCTGCCGACAGACCTCTTTAGGGAACAGCTGCAGCCACCACCACGCTGAGCACACTCTTATCTCTTGCAACGTGGCGTCCAGCCCAACGTCCGTCCTGAACCAGGTTCCAACAACTGCACGCACTGAGCACCTTTTCTCCTTAGGCTTATTTATTTTTTCTTCCATGAGCAAGTAAGAGCACCCCACAGGAGCCTGACATGGCAGTCCACTCCCAGCCCTGAGCAGCCCTGGACATGAGCACAACATGCCCAGTGTACTCAGGGAGGTCTTGGACTTGAACCGGGAGCCTTCCCATGAGGGACTGCCTGGTAGAGCATCCCATTTCACCAACGGGTGGCCTGGCCTCCCGAGTGCCTTCTTAGTGGAAGCCCTTGGGAAGATTTAAACACACTTCTGTGTGCTGGTCTCCATGACAGAACACACATGATAGGAGACAGAGAGGACTTCACAGATCCTGCTTCTGGTCTGTGGGGGCCCAGAGACACCTGGTCACTTGACCTGCGCCATGAACGATGCCCAGGTCCCCCTCGGCACCACTTGGTGAGCCATTCCCCCAATTTTGGCACGCTCTGGCTTCTGACATCCGGACCTCGTGCCTGTTCTGTGGAGCTCCTTGGGTTACTGAGTTCACTACTTTGTCCCCACACAGCAAAGCTAGATGTGACTGGGGACTTATGTCCCCTCACATGGCCCTGCCCAGACCTTCCATGAGAGAGCACATGGAACAGGAGAAGAGCCTCCTCTCGTTTACCTCAGGTCAGAACAACCCTGAGGTCAGAGGTGGGCTCCAGAGTGACGGTGCGATGGGCTGGATGGAGTCCCATCTGTGGGTGCGGGCACACCCTACATGCCCCTATCATGCAGGACCTGCACACGCATCTCACCCAGACTCTGCCTGGGAGAAACCTCACCTAGGACAAGCTGGTGCCCTCGGGAAGTCGCATGCAAAACTCTTCACACAGCTGGGTTCTAGCATCACCAGACTCACGGTTCCCTCCGGAAACGTGATGCAAGAGCCTCTGGTGAAGATGTGGGCACAGGGGTGGGAGGAGCATGCCTTCCCAAGGGATGGAGCAGAGGCCACCTCTTCTCCCCACCCCCAGTCATCACAACACTCCGCTGAAGAGGTTGGGGCTTGAGTTTGAGCTTTGGGGTCCCCACAGGGAGACTGCCCCGAAGGCCCGCCCCCCTGATGTATGATAAATGGAGCCTGTGTGGCCTGTTTAATATAAGTAGGGACTACCTACTTATGTTTGTCGCACCCCAAACCCAACTATACAGCCTTTATGATTCTCCCTCCCACCCCCACCCCCAGCCTGTGGCCTTTCACTCTGACCAGAGTGACATTTCCAAGGGTACTCTGGACATTGCTACCCAGATGAGGAGCAGCTCCTGGAATGTGGCCTGGCCACTGGTCCCACGCCCCCCCTGTCAGCGCCCTTTGGTTAAGGTTCCCAATCTACCAGCCCCGCAGACAGATACAGAGCCTTCCAGAAGCTCAGCACCTTCCTCCTCTCACAGATGTAGGTCCAAGGAAGTCTTTGCCCTTAATAGTGCCAGTATTGGGACCCGCAGATGGTGTGATGGTCAGGTTGTTGGACTCCCACATGGCTGGCCATGGTTCAGGTCCCGGGATCTGGTGACTTGAAACTCACACTGGGTGTGTGTGCATACATGTCCTGGGTCCTCAGGGGACAATGGAGGAGAAGGGACTACAGTGTGGTCATCCACTCTGGGGGATGATTTCTCGCTGTTTGTCTCTCCTGTGAGTGCACGCACCCTATAGCAAAAAACTCTTAAAAACAAAACAGAACAAAACAAAACAAGATAAAACAGTGCCAGTATCTTATACCTCTCCCTTCTTGTCCATTTTACAGCCAGCACTCCAGCCACCTCAAGCCTAAATTAATTTAACAGCGTCTTAACTAGTCTCCCTGCTTCCAACCCTTGGGCCCTATGTACATAAACAGATGAAACTACCGCTTCCAACCAAGATATTCATCTCTTACTAATCCATTCTGTGCAAACGGCCACAGAAGCACACAGAGATGCAGAAAAGTGTTCCCCACAGAACTGTTGACATCAGTGAAATGCTGGAATTCACCGGACATCAGCACGGGGTGGGCTCACTAGGGGGAAAACCCCCACAATAAACATTATGCCCCCTAGTGAGCCCACCCCCGCAATAAACACTGTGCCCCCTAGTGAGCCCACCCCCACAATAAACACTGTGCCATCATTAAAAAGCATCACCCATCCACGTCTATGGTGACATGGAAAGGCTCCCTCTCCCTGCTGCTAAGTTACAAAAGCATGTGGCAGGACAGTATGTCAAACGCAACGCTATTCCGTGACGCTATAGATAGCTACGCTCATGTACACAGCTGTATCTTTACAGGTATGTGTACGCACAGACCATCTGGAAGGATGAACCAGCCTGTTAATGGTGAAAACTGTAGGGAAGAAAGACTGTCAGAGGAGGTATGCGGGAGACCATTTCTTATAGCGTTTTAATCCAAGTATAAGAGATTTACAAGAGACACCTTAACAGTGGGGCTTGATGGAGTTTTACAAACTAAACAAGCCCGTAAACCAGCACCCAGAAATGGAGCATTACAAGGATGCCCAAAGGCCCTTTGTACCCCAACTTCCAGTCACTATCATGCTCACGAGGATCTAACCACCACCCTGATCTCTAATACTACTTAGTTTTGTCTGCCTTTTCTTTTTTTAATTGCCAGAGGGCACATACACTTGCCAGAGAGAAGGGGAGAAGGAGAAAGCACTCCCTACTGGGGTGTGGTCACGCCACAATCCCTTCTCCTCCCGTTTTTCCGTCCTGTCGAGATTTGGGGCATGAATGTGAACACATATGTGCCCAAAGTGTTTTTCGAGCTGGGCAATGCCAGCATTCAAACTGTGGTCAGCCTCGTGGGATCCAGTTCCCATAATCACTGTACTGTGGGGCCAGCCCAGTTTTACCTGCTTTTAAGCTTTATGTAAAGATCATGACCTTTTCTGGCCTAGTTTCTTCTGCTCTGTTTTATGTTGATTGTCTGACATTTATACATATTGTTGTCTGTAGCTGCTAATTGTTCATTTTCATTGCTATCTGGTATTCCACCATATGGCTATACCACCATTTATTTATCCATTATACTGGTGATGGGTTTTGGGGTTTTGTTTGTTTTTCCAGCTTAGGACTATTAGGAACAATGCTGCTATGATTACTTCAGTGCATGATCTTTATTTTGCACCTGTGTCTTTTGGAAATTCACCCAGGAGTGGAACTGCCGGGTCACAAGTTAGGCGTCTGGTCAGCTTTAGCAGGCACTGCCAAATGAGTTTCCAATTTATAAGTCAATCAGCACACTGGAAAGGAGATTTTATTTCTCTTTAGTACATTTCTATGTTGTCTGAATTCTAAAACAATGAATGTTGGGGCTGGCAAGTGGCATGGTGGGTAAGGCACTGGACTACCACATGGCTGGCCACGGTTTGAATCCCAGGCCTGGTGGCTTGCTTTTTCACTCTCTCTGGTGAGCATATGTACCCCGCAGCAATTTTTTTTAAAAATAATAATAAAATTAAATTAATAATTCTGAGAGATTTTTGCAATAGGGCACGTTTGTTCACCAGAGAGAGAGAGAGACAGAGAGACAGAAAACAAGAAATCACCCTCCCAGGGAGATGGCCACTTTGCAATCCCTTCTCCTCCATTCTCCTCTCAGGATTTTGGGTATGCATGCACACCTGCCTGGTGTGAGTTCGAAGCCACCAAGTATGAGACTTGAACCTAACTGTTCACGTTAGGTTCATGTGGGAGTCATGTGGGAGTCCAATGATGTAACCACTACACCATCCGCTGGTCCCTAAATAACTATATTTTTAAAAATAATGAATGTATTAGTTCTAGAATGTGAACAGAATTAAAATGCAAACATCTGTAAGTAAATCACAGCTTCAAGCATGCCATAATCTTACTTAAAACGTTAAAATGTCTCCTCATTCCCTGCCACATTAGGTTCCATTTCTGCACCCAGGCAGCCAGGCCTCCCTATTGCTTGATCCTCCCCCATCTGCTACTGGTCTCCCTCACAGTCTCCATACGCCCCCTGCCTGGGGACCTCACTGCTCTCTGCACGACCTCATTAACTTCCTCACTGTGGTTTTCACTCCTTTCCTTTCCTCCCTTCCTCATATTCCCTATCAAAATTCTAACCTTCTCCAGCATGTAGCTTGTTTGAAGTAGAATTTCCCGGGCGCTCTACACCTTAGTCTCTTCATCACATAACAGGGATAATGGCATCATACTCTCAGGGCTGTTGTGAGCATTAAATGTAACAACCAGGTAATGCGATAACGTAATAGCATTTTATCCTCAAAACATCCTAGCTGAGCTGTGGCTTACAGTAAGCACCTGACAAGAGAAACAAGCGTCCATACATTATAGATGCTGGGCCATGTATGAACATAGGTGTCTCCTCTGAAGCCTTAGTTCTCACAATAAACCATGAGATAGCTACTAGCCTTCTTCACAGAGAATGAAAATGAGGATCCAGAGGGTTAGGTAATAGTCCCAAGGATTCATACAGCTACAAATGACAAAGGTGGAATGCACACCCAGGTCTTTCTGACTCCAAAGTCATGTGTATTGTTTGTTTGGTTTTTCAGAAACTGCATGTGCTCTCCAGAAAGACAGAGAGATCGAGAGAGGGGAAGAGGAGAAAGCACTCCACAGGGAATTGTCGTGTCACAATGCTTTCTCCATCTCTCCCTCCTTTTGCAATTTTGGGCGTGCACACATGTGTCTGGTGTGTTTCTCAACTGTCAGGTCTGTGACTTGAACCTCACTGTCAGCCATCTGGGATCCAGCCACCTTACCCACCAGGCCATGGAGCTGGCCCCAAAGTCATGTATTTAATGTCACTAAACTAAACTAGCTGAGCACTCCCACGGAATTCAGATGCCATCTGTTCCATGCAGTCTTCCCTGATCTGACTCTTTGAGCTCTGGAGGGTACTTCATCGTCACTTCAGTTGCGTAACCATTCCATTGCATCTTGAAACACAGTCCTCAGTCAACCTAGGGATGTCCACGTCTAAAGTGAGAAGGCTTTCCGCCTGTGCTCCCCTTCAGCACCACGGAGAGCGCCCACACGACCCGTCCCTACTAAAAACGTGTGCATGATAGAGTTGGCTTTAGGATGCACCCCCAGGAGAAACGCGAACAAGAAAACAAGTAAGTCTTCCTCAGTTGTTTATACCTGAATATAAATGTGTTTAATGCACCTCCTTGCAGAAGCAAGTGTTCTTAAGGATGAGGATAATAAAATAATGATTGTGGTAAATTATGAGAACAGACATCATCATCCTTAGCACTCCCTCTGTACCAAGCACTATTGTGTCTGTATGATTTAATTTCACCATAACTCTGAAAGGCAAGTGTTGTTAACCTAATTTTTCAATAAGGAAACAGGCTCGGAGCTGTTTGGCAACTTGTGCAAGGGAATACCAGACAAGACAGAGCTGGGTTAGAAACTCAGGTATGTGTGAAAACTCATCAAACCACTGGAGACCCCAG